TTTTTTGGCACACATTTTATAAGAAATGGCAACCTCATAGCTACAAAAGAAACTCCACAGCAAGCATAAAACAAATACTAATCTTGCTCTGTATAATCTTTTAGAAGAAATTTATTTGATTAATTTGAATCAAACAATCAAACAGCTCTCCTAACTTCTTCATTTCAAAAGGTGTAACAACCCAAGGCCTCATCCAAAAGTCTACTCTAAAGTTGACTTCTGAATTTCTAGGCTTTCTTAAATACCCAATTGCAAATTAATTTCCAATTAACATCGAGTATATATATGTCGCTACAGTATAAATGGATTCTACGAAAATTAGAGAAGAGAAGAAGAAAAAAACAAAGAAAAGGAAGGAGAGATTCATAGCACACAATCAAAATTGTTGAGGACAATTGCAAAACTCAAATAGGTGGAAGAAGGAATAAGAGAGGTATCCAAAGGGAAAGACCTGAAAAACTTGCCTGGGTCAAGATTCGAAGAAGAGGAGTCAATGTTGAACAAATGAGAGGCAAAGTTGCGAACAAGAGAGAGAGGCGGAGTCGTGTGTTCAATATAGCGAAGCGCTAATTTTGCTAACCGATTTTCGGCTTCTCTATATAAGGAGAACGAGTGATGGTTTTTTTTTTACTAATGGGCTCTACAATCCCATTTAAGTTAGTCCCCCATCTAACCAAACATGGGCTTCAGGTTCAATTAAGCAGAGTCTTATCTAGTGAGCCCTACCAAACATGCCCTAAGACATTTGCTTGCAATTGAGATAAATGTTGAAAAGAATGTGGAGATTATCAAATTAAGATTAAGATCTGTATCATGCAAACTCAACTCGCTTGTATTACATTAGTTCATTAAGAAATATACAAACTACCCAATATGGGGCATTCTCAAATAACCCAAGACAAAGTGAAGCATTGCATATAAATCATTTCAATGACATAGTCTACATGTTATCAGGGTCGGTTTCTCTGCTCCTGCAAATGTTGCTACTGTTACCAAGTTGTCGAGATTCTTTGCCTGCTGTTGGTTTCTCACCGAGAAGTTGGGACGGCCAAGAATCCACCGAGGTTGGATACCTAGCATGCGGTTTACTCACATGTGAGGTAGTGTTAGATGTGAGCTGGGCGGCATCCGGCAGCGGGTAGGATTGGAGATCAGGGCAGAGGGGCATGACAAAGACAGCAGGTGCTTGCTGCAAACTGGGGTCTTGAGTGGGCAAACTGACGGAAGTTCCAGGAAAATGGGATGCCACTTTGGGTCTCAATTCTGCACAAGGGGGTGCTGCATTCAGGTCCGGTTTAGACTGGACCACCTTGTCTTCTATTTCACTGTGTAATTTCTCAATCTGAGTTTCTAAGGCAGAATTATCCTCTCTCAGCTCATTCTTCTCAATGGTCATCTGTTCAATTTTCAAAGAACTTGCATGAAAATATGATTGATTGAAAGAATGCACTACCAGATGTACAAGTTTCTTCTCAGCTCTAACAAAGACCAATGCATAAGGAATGATTCACACAAAACAGTATGGATTTAGCTAGATAGCTAAAGCATTGAGTACGCATATATTCTTTGAATCTTCTACATACATGACAGTAGCAAAATATTTGGGGGCAAAGAAATCTGTAAAGTGCCTTACATAGTTGGATTCAGACAACAAGGATGCATTCTCCTTTTGTAAGTACTCAATCTGACCAATCAAGTCCTTTAGCAGTCGTGTAGCTTCACACAATATAGAGGCCTTTCCATTGTTCTGCTGATTTAATTCTGTGCAAGAGTTTTCTCAAATTAAGAATGACCCAGCATCATATTAAAAAATGATTACACTAAGAGCCATCATAGTGAACTTCTAACAAATAAAAGATTAGTTACCAAGAGCATCGGCCAGCTCAAGAAAAAGCTCGTTAAAATGCTCACGCTTCTGTTTCTCCCTCTCAGCCTTGTGGATTCTCTTAGGAATTTTCCCCGGAATCTTTTTTCTGGAAAAAGCCCTGCACATCAAACAGCTTTGTAAACATCTAGCCAAGAAATCAGAGTGCTTTTCCATCCTAATAAACAGTCATGTTAAGCCACTTGGATGAGTTACATCCATTATTCTAAATGACTTCACACAAGTTGATAATGGCCAGAGGAAATTCTGTTGGAAGACCCTCTAAAATCTTTTATAACGCTTGAGTAGTATGAAGTTCAAAATAAATAAAGTACAAGTGGCATTTAAAAATAAAAGCAGTATTACCACATCAGAAAGAGATTTATATGAAAGAAATCAGCTTTATCAACAGGGAATCAAATTCTTTGTTCATAATAGGGCATAAGTGAGCACTTCTGTCAAGATATCCACCTTATTTGAATCCTCTAATCAGTTAGAAAGGCTATCTGTCAAAAACGAATCATAGGTATTCTTTCCTTCACGTGAATACCATAAACTTTCTCCGAGCAAATTCTATTCCAAAATGTATCCATCACTAGTTGCAGCTATATTTCTATTAAAGCTAATTCAAAATCGGCTGAATTACATATTTAGTGGGCAGCACATCCAACATTCCCCAAAGTTAAGTAGATTTTGACAGGGACGAAACTTATACTGGTTCCACAACATAATGTGTGTACCCTGTATCTTTTTCATCATTCCTTTAGGAACCCCATTTCTAAATTTTCAATTTGTAACTCCTTTTCAAAATGTTCAATATTTTGCATCATCAAGTTTCTAACTAAAGTAGGACAAGCTTTACCGTTCCTAAGTACACACGAACACTTCCAGCCTTTAATTAATATGCCAAGCATTAGAATATCCAATCCAGATAATAGAAAGTTTCTAGCACTCATAACATCGCTTATGCGCTCATGTGAAAATTAAGATCTGAACAACTTACCCGCGCACTGAGGCCTCCGTTACATTAGTCTTGTCAGCCGCCGGAACAGGATTCTGTGAACCCATGATCCGATAACCGTCTCTATGAACTGAATAGGGCCTTATATCCTATAATAAGAAGCAATACCAAATTCAGACATTCTTGAATCTTGTCAGATGATCCTCCAAACAACAGTAGGCAACCATATTTATCGTTATTGGGCCTGAATTTTTGCACTTTATATATAGATATTGAATTTTAAAATGAAACCCTAGTTTGTTTTCCTACAAATGATTGTTCTACCTCATTGCTCAGTCAACAAAAACCCTTAATGAACTGAACAGAAAAAAATATTACAATTAATAAATTGAAATGATAGCTTTTATCCCATCTTGTGGAAAATGATACTTGAACTACGGAAAATTCGGAATTAGACATCAAATCAACCCCAATCCAGAAAAAAAAGGTTTGTACTGTTTAGAAAGAAACAAAAAGCCATAATTCCAGAGACCCTAGATCAGAATAAAGAAACCATTTTGTGGAGAAGAAAGAAGAACAAACTCAGAGGAAATGCACAATTAGATTGAGAAAATGAAAAATTTACTGAATCACCTACCTCACCTGCAGTTGGAAATGCTGGGCAGAACAAATGGGTCTTCGATTAAGAGAAATTCAATAGATTTCGAAGAAAAATAACAAAGGATTTGGTTGAAATTTGGGGGGTATATATTTACGCAGAAAAATGTCATTGACTAACGAGGTAAGGTAACTGTACGCTTGGCATTTAGGAGGAGGGGAGGAAGACAGAGAGTGTGGCGGGAGAAAACGAGGCAGAGGAGGGCGTGTGGTGAGCGCTTGCCTTTTTGGTGCGCAATGAACCCAGCCACGTGACTCGCCACGTGATCTTCCTTGATTTTTTCATAACTTACGTTGTCTTATTACATTATATATGCTAGTGGTGAATTGAAATTTTGTTGTTGTTGTTGGAGTGGTGAATTGATTTTACAAATTATGTCAGCATCTTCCTTTTTTTTTTTTTTTTTCCAATGAAAAGAAAAATTAAAGAGATAGTGATAGGATTATTAGCAAATCTGTTTAGTTTCTTATTAATTTAGTTTTTTTTTTCCATATAAAATGGTCTCTTAGAAGGCATACGGTATCATAATGTGAGATTATACTTGTGTACTTTCTATAATGTCAATTTCTTGAGTAGCCAAGATATGAAACCTATGCATACACCCTCATTCTACAAAATCCAATCTATTCGGGTTTGGGGGGGATCGCGGTGGATTCCTAGACCAATTAATTTTCGTATTACCTCTCCCACGCAACAAGGGCAAGAAGATTTAAAGGTCAGTGAGCTTATTCTTGAGAATGGTACAACATGCTGGAATGTCTCATAATTCCATTTTTTTTGGTGATGGATGTGGATGAAATTTTGAAAATCCCGTTGAGCTTTTGTCTCCCGGCAGATAGGCTCGTTTGGCATTATGATAAGAGGTCATTTTACAGTTAGAGAAGTGCTTACTATGTTGCAATGGACTTGGAATTGGAGGAGGGGCAAGGATTGGCAACAACTTCAGTGAGTGAAGATGCTTCAGTTTGGAAGGTGTGTGGGGCGGGCTTATTCCGGCTAAAGCTAAATTATTTTTGTGGAGAATGCTGCATAATATATTACCAAGTCCCATTGCTGCTGCTAAGTTAAGAAGATGAAGGGCCCCATGGTTGGGATTGCAGGCATACACCGTGAGACTACTAGCGTGTAGTAGACGAAGCTCCTTCGCTGTAGATTTCGTCAAATTAGGATGTGGTTGAATGATATATATATATATATAACAGAGGTTTTGCTGTCATCTTTTCTGGTTAACGGTAATTCATCAAGCCGTGTCTCCCACTAAAGACAGACCAATGATGGCTTCAAAGGAAGTCTTTTCCTCAGGTAATACATACCATTATTCATCAGTTTGTGCAGCAACAAACTGAACCATGATAATTATATATATAGTAAACAAGGAACCTTAATTCCATGTCCTTAACAAACAAAAAAATAGCAATATCAACTATGAGCTAAGGATAACAGCCAATAAGGGCCTAGATGGCAGTAAAATGCCTCAGGTTGTGATCCTCAATGGCTCTGCTCCTCAGGTACTTACATTACAACTTGTTTTCTACTACCTGTAACCCCTCCTTCCAAAAGCTTTTTCTTTTTTGTCTTTTTTTCTGGTTGGCTTTTTCCTGCTGAATGGAGGCTTTTTCTGGCTGTCTAGCAGTTATTTCCTGCTTGGCTTCTTCCTACAAAATCCAATTATATATATTATGATAAATTAGACCCAAAGGTTAATAAAAACACTTGTAGACATGCAAACAATTGGCTCTCTTGATTCATGATCATTAAATAAATAAAACGATTTCACATAAACGCATTCCTTTTACCTCCCACATAAAAGAACTCTCATCCAGAGTGATTTCATCTTCTTGTTTTGGCTGCTTCATGCTAGTTGCACTCTCTCTTTCTACAGGTTCATAATCCTCGCACTCTCTGAGAGTCATAATCATCATAAAAAACAAAATCCAACGTACAAATTAATGTTATTGACGAAAACACAAGTAATGTGAAGAAAACTTACGGAGTAAAGCCGAACGTAAGCATGAACCAATTACCGGCCTCGATATCCACAGGAAGAACAATTGAATGTAAGGTCTCGATCATATGTCTTGTTTCTTCTTGGACAATTTGAAACATGGTGATACAAAGATGTTGAACCTCATCACATTCTTCGTTAGTGCCAGTCTTAACATGAACTAAGTCTTGATTCCCCAGATGAACCAAATAGTCAGTCACAAATTCACCAAATTGCAATGGGGGATCCGCAATCTCAAGGCCGTTCAATTTATACAGTTGCACTAGTGAATATGCAATATCACCATCATCATTTACCTTACTCTTCAAGGAGTATGCTATAATCTCATCCACCTTAAACATATTTAAGGCATAGATAGTCTCGCCTACAACCACGGCCCTCCCTCGGAAAGGAATATAAGTGTTAGTTTGCACTCGTTTCCAATTCTTTGTACCCACGTGAAAAGCAACGACATCCAAGTTTCGGTGTCTGTCACACAATGTATACAAAATAAGGCCGTAACAAACGGCATAACCAGTTACCTCCATAATGTATTCATAAGAAAATGGAAACAAAGACAGTCGCACCCAATCCTTCTTATCAGGATTGTATTTCCCAAAACCTAGACTCCGACTTCGTCCCTTGGCTTCAAGAAAATAAAGTGTGCCATATGCCGACACAACTGTTCCACGAGCCTTAAACTGTACGGTAGAAGGTGTGAAGGAATCTAATTTCCTAGTTTTCGTATTAAAGATAGACCCTTTGAATGAACTAAGGTCAGGCTTATCCCAATCCTCGTCTGTAAATACATATAGTTCAGAGCGGTCAAAAATCCTTGCACCCTGAACGTTAAAATCACTGAATGTGGCTACAGGTTTAGGTGCTCCTCCTCCGCCCATATCATCCATTTCTCCTCCGAATTTGAATTTAACTTCATATATGGCACCGGTGTTTTTGCCCCCATCGAATGTTACCATTAAAAACACAGATCTATCTTGGCCCCCCTGATTTACCGTCATCCCGTCCATGGGCAAGCTGGACAGAGAAGAGAGAGATATATAAAACAATTCAAGTTAATCTTTCAAACAACTACCTATACCTAGAGAGAATTAATGAATGAAGCAATGTCAAAGCTACACAATATATATATATACACACACACACACAAACAAAAAACAATGCGAATGAGAAACAAAAATTAAGAAGATGAAATCCACTAGTAAGTAAGGCATGCACTGACCTTGGGTAAGAATGAACGGCCCCATGTTTGCGACTGCCAGCCCTACTGAAGCGAAGCTCGTCCCATATTAATTTCTTCAAATGGACCAGTTGGATTTGGTGGGACAAAAGCGCGGCTAGAGATTTCTCCATCTCCGATATCTTGCTCGGTTCACCATGAGAATTCTCCATCTCCCATATCTCGCCCAGTTCACGCAGAGATTTCTCCATCTCCGATACCTTGCACAGAGATTTCTCAATCTTCGATGTATCGTGGCGTGAAACCATCGTCAAGGTATGGTCTTGACCCGACGTGAGCTCAACGGCAGCGGCCATGATATTGGAATACTAAACTGAGGCAAAAGGGAATTTAGGGTTTGGGGATGCTGCGGAAGAAGGGAGTTTTAATATGGTTAGTTGTGGGTACTCTATGAAATATATACTGAAGCTTGAAATTTATTCAAGAGATCAATATGCTTTCATTCATCCGTAAAGTATGTATTTATATAATCACCTAATTAATATGCTAGAAGGACACTTCCAGCCTTTAATTAATATATCAAGCATTAAAATATCCAATCCAGATAACAGAAAGTTTCTAGCACTCAAAGCAACGCTTATGCGCTCATGTGAAGATTAAGATCTGAACAGCTTACCAGCGCACTGAGGCCTCTGTTACATTAGCCTTGTCAGCAGCCGGAACAGGATCCTGTGAACCCATGATCCGATAACCGTCTCTATGAACTGAATAAGGCCTTATATCCTATAATAAGAAGCAATACCAAATTCAGACATTCTTGAATCTTGTCAAATGATCCTCCAAACAACAGTAGGCAACCACATTTTCCGTTATTGGGCCTGAATTTTTGCACTTTATATATAGATATTGAATTTTAAAATGAAACCCTAGTGTTAGTTTTCTTTCCAACAAATGATTGTTCTACCTCATTGCTCAGTAAACAAAAACCCTTAATCAACTGAACCGCAAAAATATTACAATTAATAAATTGAAATGATAGCCTTTAACCCATACTGTAGTGTTTGTGCCTAATAAATCACGGCCATAAGTTGGCCGAAGGAGCCCTTTCTCTCGGCCCTGGCACTTGTTCATAAAAGCTGAAACGCAGCGTTTTCGCCAGGGTACTTCGCCTTCCTAAAAGACAAAAGAAGAAATGCTAAGGCATGATCATCTCGGCCTCAAGCGAAGGCCGAGGCCAAGGCCGAACAAAATCGCGGCCAGGAATATTAAAATCAGATCATCACGTGATAGCAGGGACCCAGGCTTCATTTAATGAAGTAGTGCCTGTTTAATGCAGCAGACCCACTGGCTACAAGGAAGCATTTAATGCATGAGGGAAGGTGGGAAGTGACTGAAATCAGAATTTGGTGATGGGGATCAGAGTGATTAGACGTGGACATTCTCACAAGAATTCTGACAGCCTTAGATATTGGTTCACCAGCTATCCAGGCCATAAATGCGTCTCTACGGCCAGAAGCTCAGAACCCGATCAAGGGCGGCGGCCGAGATTCACCGGGATTTCTGGGGTCACACCACCATGCTTCGCGATCCCAAATGTCGATTGGACTGCCCACTTGCTCCAATCCAGCTCCACCATGCAGATTTTTTAGCCTCGATTACTCCTCCAGGGACTCTTCCTATAAATACAATACTCGAGCTTCATTCAAAGGGTTCAACACCAAAACAAAGCCTCCCACGGAGCAACTTATTTTTTCCTGTAATGCACTTTCAATATCTTTACTTGCTTTCCTAGGAGTAGTGGTAGATTGTAAGGAGAATCCATTCATCAATATATCATACGACCCTTGATTTTCAAGGCGCCGGAGCACCATCCTTGCTGTTCGCTCACTCACCCCATATATCATACGACCGTCGCTCCCTGAGCAGCGCGCCGGAGCACCGCCCAAAACCCACCACCTACACCATCACTCAACGGCCTTGTAGTTCAGGCCGTGAACCTAACAGCCGAGACCATTTCCTCTCTCGGCTACAATCGTTTGATTAGAAAGACAAGTTCAAACAGGCGCACCACTCAACCATCCGACACTCATCAATTCATCGACGCACGGTAGACCATGCTGGCACGCCCGCGCACAAACCGCACCGCACCCAAAAGTAGGAAACCGCGTGTTAACGCATATCCCCTCGGCCCGGAACCCCAGGCCGTGAGATTTGCGCGGCAGACATGTAGAAAATGATACTTGAACAACGAAAAATTCGGAATTAGACATCAAATCAACCCCAATCCAGAAAAAAGATTTGTACTGTTTAGAAAGAAACAAAAAGCCATAATTCCAGAGACCCTAGATCAGAATAAAGAAACCATTTTGTGGAGAAGAAAGAAGAACACACCCAGAGGAAATGCACAATTAGATTGAGAAAATGAAAAATTTACTGAATCACCTACCTCACCTGCAGTTGGGAATGCTGGGCAGAACAAATGGGTCTTCGATTAAGAGAAATTCAATAGATTTCGAAGAAAAATAACAAAGGATTTGGTTGAAATTTGGGGGGTATATATTTACACAGAAAAATGTCATTGACTAACGAGGTAAGGTAACTGTACGCTTGGCATTTAGGAGGAGGGGAGGAAGACAGAGAGTATGGCGGGAGAAAACGAGGCAGAGGAGGGTGTGTGGTGCGCGCTTGCCTTTTTGGTGCGTAATGAACCCAGCCACGTGACTCGCCACGTGATCTTCCTTGTATTTATTTATTTTTTATTTTTATAACTTACGTTGTATTATTACATTATATATGCTAGTGGTGAATTGAATTTTTGTTGTTGTTGTTGGAGTGGTGAATTGATTTTATAAATTACTAGTCTCTTCGCACGCGCTTCTTCTCCTGTGAGAGGCTTTAAAAAAAAATAAATTAAATTTATTTTAGAATTAAAAAAGATAATGGGTAGTTGTGTTCCATAAAAATATGATCCATTATCTGATTTTTCTTTTAATATTAAAAAGTGTGAATTTACCATATTATCCTCATTTAATTAATAATTTCAATTCTTAATGCTAGCATTAACCAATGGCATTTTATGGTATTTTGAATGTTTTACCATTCTCTGACTTTTGCTTTATCTATATAGATATAAGCACCTTCCCCTTTTTTTCAATGAAAAAAAGAAAAAAAGAAATAGGGATGGGATTTTTAGCAAATCTGTTTAGTTTCTTATTAATTAAGGTTTATTTTTGTCTTTTTCATATAAAATGGTCTATTAGGAGGCATACGAATGAACGGTATCATAATGTGAGATTATACTCATGAACTTTTTATAATGTCAATTTCTTGAGTAGCCAAGATATGAAACCTATGCATACACCTTCATTCTTCTACAAAATCCAATCTATTCGGGTTTTTTGGGGGATCACAGTGGATTCCTAGACCAATTAATTTTCGTATTATCTCTCCCATGCAACGAGGACAAGGAGATTTTTACAGGCGTCGTAACCCGCATCGTCGAAAAGGGGGTTCATGGAAACTTTTTCAAAACACGACGTCTGTTCCGCGTCATGGAATGGGGTTTCAATAACGCAAATGGCATGTCGTGGAAACTTTTTCAAAACACGACGTCTGCTCCAAACGTTTGGGAGTATATGAAGGGAGAGAATGAAGGGAGAGAAGAGACAGAAGGATAGCGCGAAATAGAAGAGAGTGGGGAGAGAAGGTTTGATTTATTTCTTAATAATTGGGTTTGGGACTTAAAAATAAAACAATAATAACCAATTGTTTGGGACTATATGAAGCGGATAAGAAAAAAAGAGCACCAAGTTAAATTTTGGTGAAAAAAAGAGCGACAGGCTTAAAAATTTGGGGGGAAAGAAATTATAGATCTATGACGCGCATAAGACATCGTTAACAAACATATCTATGACGTAGAACACGCGTTGTGGAAATCTAATTTTATGACGCGTGACACCCGTCATGAAAATCAACGACACATAATCAGCGTCGTGTTAAATATTTTCCATGACGTCTCCCAAACGTTGTTGATTCAATGACGTTTATGAACTGTCGTTAAATTGTAAAACTTTTAACAGCTCATCACTTGTGTCATTGATTATATTTTTGTGGCTATGAAAAATATTGGACAAAATTAAAATGAGGTCACAAAAACATGAGGCGAAGACATTGGGGGGGTTGAAGTTTTAGATCTATGACGCAGAAGTAGAGTCGTATTAAAAGTTTTCCGTGACGCAGAAAAGACGTCATTGATTCAATGATGCTTATAACGCATCTATAAACTATAAAACCTTTAACGGTGTGTCTTATGCGTCTTCTAAAGGTAATAGAATCTATGACACCTAACCCACATCATTAAAAACACAATTAATGACGTGTTAATCCGAATGTCATGGTAAGTGTGTCATAAACTATATTCAATGACGCTCATAGAACGTGTCATGAATGACATAATTTAATGACGTATATTTTAGACACGTCATTAAAAGTCATGTTTGTTATAGTGAGTAGTATTGTTTCTATTTGGTTAGAGTTGTGCATCCCATTTTTCTTAGGATGTACACTGCTGTTTTTATTTTATTTTTACCTTACTCTTCTTTTTGAGCTCAAGTGTTTTCTAAGGATACTGTTTGTTCTTACAAGTATACTGTTCTTTATCAGCATACTTATATTGAAGTGGAATTTTTAAAGCCTCTCTTTTTGTTGTTCTTATTTTAATCTCTCAGTGACAGTGTTGGTCTTTTCAAATTATTTTTGCATGGTGTTGATGTTTCTCTGGTGTCATGTAATTGACTCTTTCTGCACAAATATTTACTTTTT